TATTCCTTTTTTTATTATAGCGTTGTGCATATCTTTGTATCTATGTGGCTGTCTATCTCTTCGTTCGTAGTACAATATATACTTTCTAAGCTCTCCGTATCCACGCAACACACAACACCCCCCCGCTCATCCCTTCTTCACGTTACTGCACAGGTGTCCTGGGTCCCCTCAGACGTTGAGTTTGACGAACGCTTTGACAAGTACTTGGACAAAGCGTTTTTCCAGCACAAGATACACTGGTTCTCTATCTTCAACTCGTTTATGATGGTCATCTTCCTGGTGGGGTTGGTGTTTATGATCCTCATGCGCACGCTACGAAAGGACTTCGCACGCTACAGTCGCGAGGATGACCTGGATGATATAGTATGTTCCTGGTCAGGGCTTGGGTGTACATGTGTGTACATTACGTAGGAAGAGTGTGTATGGCCATGTAAAGTGCGTATGGCTATGTAAAGTGTGTACGGCAATGTAAAAAGTGTATGGCTATGTACTTCCTAATTAAGATAGATCCAAATATCTGTGTATAGCCTGGATGATATCGTATGTTCCTGGTCAGGTCTTGGGTGTACATGTGTGTACATTACGCAGAAAGTGTGTGTATGGCTATGTAAAGTGTGTATGGCTATGCAAAGTATGTACGGCTGTGTATATCCTCCAGTCATACTGTTCTCATGCACTTCCCCTTACCGTACCGTCTCACAGGAACGTGATCTCGTCGACGAATATGGGTGGAAGCAAGTGCATGCAGATGTCTTCCGATTGCCCAGACACGCCACCATGCTGGCTACCTTAGTGGGGACTGGGTCGCACATCTTCCTGTGTGGGCTGTGCTCTATCTTAGCGGCCATGTGGGGGGATATGTACGAGGAGTAAGTACACCCAACACATGAACTGAGTAACCTCTCACAGTTAACGTATTCGTGGTGTGTTGGTATGTAATATGTAGCGAAGCATTGATCCACTGATGACACCTGCTGCCATGGCTGATTTTGTGCCTATACGTTTTCACAGTGAATCATGTCAGATATGATGACTTTATGATGCTACGTTTATATATATATATATGTACATGTATATATATATATAAGTACATGTATATATATATATAAGTACATGTATATATATATATATATAAGTAC